AATATAATTAATTCAGTTAATTTTTACATTTTGTATGCATAAATATATTTTTAATTTTATTTATACTTAATTTTAGTATAAAAAATAATAGTTTTTTAATGGATATAATATGCAATTTATTGAATAAGAGGACAAAGGATATATCAATCAGTCTTCGATTTTTATATCTTAAAATTAATATTTAATAAAATTAATTTTTATAAATGTATTAAATCAGTGTAAAAGGTTTGTGCTCTTAAAATTGCCTAAGATAAGATTGCTTGAGAGAAATTAGTCTCAAACAATTTTAGGAGCACACCCTCTGCATCAATCTAATATATTTTTACAAAACTTAATTTTCTTAATTACTAATTTGGTTGAAGGAAAATGAAAAGATGCCCTCTCTTTCATTTGAATAAATAAAAGAATTTTTTAATGTATTTGATGATAAATTATATAAAATAGATAACCCTTTTTTTTATCCTCAAATATCACTCTCAGCTTGATTTAAGGTTAGAACCAAGTTCTCTCCCTTCTAAATTGTTTTATAATCAAAAAAAGAAATTGTCTCTCCTTTCTTTTCCTCCTCTCAAATTAAACATAACTTTAATTACTAAATGATAAGCATTGAGTTCAATTTATTATAGTTTCCAACAGACAAATTAGATAAAGGGAAATACGAAAGTACTGTGCGGGTAATAAATTATATAATTTAAATTATTAAATAAAAATAAATTTTTTAATATTAAAAATTATTTTTTATTTTCCAATCCGCCGAACGTGTAAACCATGGTGTAATGTAGCTGAGAAAAAGCAAATAAAATTTTGAATTGTGGTCTGTGCGCGTAATAACAATGTCAACGACAACATTATATACGTTGGTGCTGATGAAGTCAACAGTGGAATAAAACATTAATTTCTATTCAAACTGCAACCTAAATCTAAATTACCTATATATTAAAAATAATTATTTTGTTTCCCTAAAAATGTCTTGCCCACATACAAGTACCAAGAAAATCCCAAGGAAAATGAACGTGGCTTGCTGGAATTAATTGTTTGCACTAAAATGTTAATCTGCACTTTCTTCATTACCATGAATTAGCTTCAACAGATTTGAGCAAAATTTTAAACTCACAAAATAATGTAATAATTTCATTTTTTTATCAACAAAAAATTTATTTCTTCAAAAAAGCACAAAGAGACCTCAACTCATTACAAACTCATTTACAAAGATACTCAAAACAGAAGCCACATGTCAATTATCCCCCAAACAATACAACCAAGACGACAAATCTACAAAAGCCCCTTTACATTCCACAAATGTTGAACCCAACAAATTTCCCTTATGAGTGATACTCTCATCTTATGTTAGGGACATTATTCACCTTTACAAGTAAACTCAACATATATAGAATCAAAAGACAGACTCTTTGATCAATTCCTCGCTCAATTTACCAGTACTAGTACTGCCTCATCCTCAGATATCTAATCTTCTACTACGTACCATCACTAATGCCTCGTCACTCGATCTCTACCTCCTAGCTAGTCAACGTATCTTATTTCTGATCCTCTCCAATCTACTGAAAGATGTCAGTTTTCAGTATGTGCTAGTAATGGTTCAAATCGCAACCGCTGCAAAACCGGCCGCAGGTTTTTCACAAGATCCTTGGCTGTCATTGGGAACTCATCCTCCATCTGCATGGATTAGTAACAGCAGCAATTTGAATTTTTGTTTACTGAATCTAAAATATGAGTGAATATATTGAGATTGAAGTTGTGTAATTACCTGAGCAGCAATGGTTATCTCGAGAGTGGAACGTCCAAATGGCAAGAAATTGCTACTGACCACAGAAAGGTTAAGCTTTTCTATTTGGTGAAGCAGATTCACCAGAAATCCTTTGTTTTTTTCGCAGTGGATTCTAAGTAGGACATCCCTGTCTGAAACTCTGGCTTCGATTTCAGGCAAAGATGAGTGGTTAGGTTGGCATGAAGATGACTCTTCGTCTGCATAAATTTGAGCTTTCTTCACCAAGACTGCTGATTCCACTATCTTCTCAGCTACCTTTTCCTCGAGGATTTTCACTCGCTCTTGAAGTTGTTTAACGTGCATGATAGCATCTCCAAGGATAGAAGTCTTGTCCGTCTGCAGACACACGTACAATCATCATTAGCAACTAAGCAAGGGTTTAATACGTGAAGATAACCATCTTGAACTCAAAAAAATTAATCTACAAAGTTTATGGATTCTGTCTCCTCAACATATATAGAAACCACTTCCTTTCACTTTATATTTCCAAAGGTGAATTTCTATACTTAATTACTAAATCACATGTGAACACCTAACCAACATGAAACATTAAAATGTTGCTTATATATACCTTCTTCAAGCTAGGAAGAAGACGTGAGAGAGCCATATACAACTCAGAAATCTTTTCGCGGCGCTTTCTTTCAGCAATTACATGATCTTGAGCATGAAAAGGGCTTCTAGTCAATGAACAAATTTTCCTCTTGACACCCTGCCTCATCATCTTAATTCATGGAATCAAATTATTTCATATGATCAAATGGTGATTAAAGCATATATATATATATATATATATATATTCTTGCAGATCAAAGAAAAAAAAAAGATTGAAGTATAGTCTGACCTCATTTTTGTAAGTCATAGCATAGTTTAGATCGCCGTAACACTGCTGGGGAATAGCAGACGATGAATCTGAATTCTCGAAATAGATTATCTTGGAGAGTGCGGAGGGAGATGGCTTTGATATTATTTGTTTATTACTCGCGCAGGAGTACTCCCACTTGTTATTATTGGTCTTGAGCTGCTTCACTGGTTTTTCGATGTCTTCTTGAATCATCTGAGAGGCTTCAATATTACATGAACCTGAACCTGTCATATTCTGTGTGCTAATTTCAGGATTGACAATCGAAAAAGACGAATAGCTCTCAGTAGAAAAAGATTGAAAATTGAGACAATCATCCAATGAATAGTCCACAGGGTTCATTTGATGTTGAGGGACAAAAGTAGGATCCTCCATTTCCATTTCCTGGAAAAATAAAACACCACAGAGAATTGTTTTCATAGAAAACTAATTCATGTCAATCCGAAGAAATAATATTAATTGGAGTAGTTTGGTGTAAATATATTTACCATTTCAGATAACCAATTTTCCGATGGGATTTCCATTGCAGGAGCCTTAGAAGTAGTTTTCTTAATTTCTGTATTTTTTTTTTTTCTTTTCTGAATTCTGAGGATTTGGATCAACTTATAATTAGACCCTGAAAGAGATTATAACATATTGCTGTTAAAAAAACCAAATATAATATATATAGTAATAATCTTAATTAGATGTGAGGCACCGAAGGGTACTACGTAGTTAAAGGTTGCACAATATATTATTTATTCTATACATATTTCAGCTCTCGCTAATTGCTCTAAAGAAATGAAAGAATTGTATCAAAAGAGATGAGACGAATCAATAACAGCTAAAGTTCAGAGATGAATTTAAGAGAAAGAATTCACCGTTCATATATGTCCCTAGCTTGGATCTCAAGAAGAGATCGCAACCAACATAAACTAAGAGTTAGAGAAAAAAATCAGAATCGATGGATGTCTGATCAGGGACTTGGGAGTTTAAGAGCAGGCCGGATTTCATTGGGGTACTTGAGAGGCTTACCCTGAGAAAAACGGTAGACGCGCCTTGGTTTTCGTGCTGCTCTTCCCAAATAGTGGGAAGACAATATATATATATCGTTGGATTTTGGCAGTACAATCTGGTATGTTGTTCCAATCGCAGGTCGCACGTGTGAAACGGATGTCTCCTTTTCTGGGTGTTAGTGTTCATTTGGACTTTGGAGGCTCCCCTAATTTAATTCCCTTTACATAAACTATTTTCATTTTTAGAGAAAACCTTAGCCCTTAAGAATTAAGGCCAATGATCTATGATTCAAGTTTCAAAGGAGTGGTATGTCAACTTAGCCCTTCAACTTTCTTATTTACTTTTTAAGGGTTTTTTCAATTTGTATCTTTAAGACACAAATTAATAGTATATTAATTATATTTTTTTATTAATTTATATAAAAACTATAAAAATTAATTTTATTTTTAACATTAATGATACATGTATGATTTTAATTAGATAAATTATTATATTAAATTAAAATTTTGATTTTTTCCATACCATTTAATAAAAAAAAATGTAATTAATTAATATACTTTGAACTTATACTCTATTTGTCCTAAAATAACTACCCATTTTTAACTTTGAGTTTAATTATCCTAAATGAATTGTTATTTTTTTACTTTAATCCTATTATTATATATTTATTTTGATTAATTATTCTATAACAAAAAAGCACACTTTATCTCTTAGCTTTTTTTTAAAGAAAATATAAATAAATGCATAAATAATCTATAAATTTTAAATTTAGAGAAAAAATTAAAAATAACAATTATTATAGAATTGAGGAAGTACCTTAAAGAGCATGTTAGAAAAACTCATTTCTCAATTAATTAGTCATTTTGACTTCATTAATTATGCCAATTTTATTGGACAATAAGATCAACTAAGCTCTAAAATTTTGAAACTGATCATATTCATATATAGCTTTCTACCGTAATCTCCTTCAGTATCTTAGTAGGGCACATTTTTCATTTTTAATGATCACGGATTTTTGAGACCAATTTTCAAAAATTAATCCCCTCATTAACAATTTTAAAACCGCAGTCGTACGTTTTCTTAACAATGGTCCTAGTGTTTGGTGATGGCATTTTGTGTGCGCTTTCCAGCTGTAGTACTTTTAATTTAATTAAGCCTATCCACCAAGAAATCTTGGTGTCAAAAGCCTTTTGTTCTTTGAATTTTGATCTACTTCGTCTCTTTTTTACAAAATAAATAGACAGATTCACTGGAACGGCCCGCTTTGGCCAATGGTATTGAACTTAGGTTATGATTGTTCACTTCTTGGGATTTCACATTTGATTCTTACGAAAAATTTTTCTTTCATCCCTTAATTAACTTGTAAATAATTATAATATATTAAAAATATATATATAAACAGATTCACTGAATATATGAACAAGTCAGAATTCAGTATGGATTAGACGCTAGTCCTAGTCTCCTGGAACGAGACACCAATCACCGACCTCCAATCAGGGCTGAAAGAATAAGATACCGCATGAGATTTCTGTCACGTGGGAATATGCAATGTGGAAGCAGAACATATGAAAATTAAGGCTAGACTTTTGGTTAACAAAAATCAAACATGGGTGATGGGTCTATAAAGAAAATGAGCAAAGTTTACCGTGTCTGTACAATGGGAGAACTAATCCAATAATAAGTCATTAAAACTGAGGTTACGTGAATGAGAATAGAATTCACTTAGAAAGTCTTATTTTATTTTTCTTTTGTTAGGTTAAATTTTGAGAGAGAAAATTTGAACACAAGTCTTGAACCCAGGGTGCATCTAATATAAACTGGCTTAGTGTCTGGGTGCTCAGTTATATCATGCCAAAATTATTGATTTCTCGCACAATAAACTATTTTCACAAGAATATAGGCAATATTAATTTCAGAGCTTGTTTAATGGTTTTTTTTTTTAACAATTTTTTTATTAATTTTTAATATTTAAAAATTATATTAAATATTAATTAATTTAAAATAAAAATACATCAAATCTTATAAAATCAATATTTATTTTTCTTTTTGTAAAACTCAAATATAAAATTTTATTTAAAAAAATCAAATTATTTTTTAGTAAGATGTTATCTATCAAAACTAATTAATTAGAGACCTACCATTTCAAACGTAGAGAGCATCCATTTTTCCCCATGTTTGTTAATTGTTACCGTGAAAGTCTTGCTTTGATAAGATGCCATCTGGAAAAAGTTAAGCTGAATGAAGGATATCAAAATTAATTTCTAGACTGTTGATCATATAAGACTGACACATCAATAATTCAAGATTTTCAGCCTCGCATTCAACTGCCACCTTTTTTCGGACAATGAACAGCGACGTCCGACATGACATGGCCACTGTAGGTTGAATTCAATAATCAGGAATTCTCCTGATATCATATCACCGACGGCGACCATCAATGGGCCACCTTTAAGTGGGTGAACGTAATCAACGATTTGCTTAATGACGACACGTAGTTGCCCCACCCTGACCATCCTTAGTATTATCAACCTTTCGGGAAGAAATGATAGAACAAAGTTTTAAGTTATGTATGGTTTGTATGAAATAAAATGAAGGAAAAAAACTAAAAATTTTAATTAAGTAAATTATATTATTTATTAATATTATAATTTAATTAATTAAAAAATTAATTTTTTTTATCTGAACCTCTCTTCATTTCTATCAAACCAAATAGATTTTTAAACATTTATAGCACCTTTCGTACCTCACCATCAAATAAAAGAGAAAGACTTTCTTTAATTCCATTCATTCTCATTAAAGTCAAAACAGCCAGCAGCTATGTTTAAGAAAATGAAAACATAAGGATTGGTTATGGCATTCTTAATTTCTCCAAGTCAAA